TCACCACCCTGCGCACAGTCACCCCCAAAGCGTTGCTGCTCCCATGCACGAGCTGAGCTGGGAGTACTCCAACCCCCCCAAAATCCTCCATCACCCTCCCCATCGCCGTGGTGCCACTATTGTGGGGTGGCAACTATGGATAAGAGTCCGGAAAGCGAGGTGGATCCGAGTCCCAGGGGAAACAGCCTCAATGGTGCTGTGTTTGAGGGTGCTCGGTACTGGGAACAACCTCTACCCGGTCACAGTGCTGGTTCCAGAGCTTTATTGGTGGGAGGGGAGTGGGAAGGTGGTCATCCCCTACGAGAGGAGGGCGCTTTTCAAGAGCGTTTTCTGGTCCGGCGTGAGCTTCTTAGGAAAGGAGATGTCAAAATATATGAGGAGGTCACCCTTGCGCTGGGGGTCCTGGAGCAGTGGCATCCCCTCCCCTGGCACCACTTTACAGTACTTGGGGCTGCAAAGCAAAGGAAGGGGCTGAGAGGAGCCGCGGGACGGCCCTGGCGTGGGGGCCACGGCACTGAGCCCCGATGTGTCTGCGTGCAGAGCCCCACGCACGCTTCTGAGCGGGTTTCTTAGGGCAAGTTTGCTCCTCCATCTTCTCCCTGCCTCTGCTACCAGCAACACGGCCCCAAACCAGAAGAGTGGCCCACGGTGGGCATCCTCCTCCTCCAGGCTGGGACCCCCCCCCAGCCCCAAATCTGCTGGAAAAGGTTTTGAAGCACCCCAGGAATCCAGGCAACGGGGACGTGCTTGGGAAGGGCCGAGCTCTTGCCAAGGAGGAACAGGCCAATGCTGAGGCTCCTCCTGAGCACCCGTTCACCTCCTTGGCCACCAAGCTCTGCAGAAAGGCCCCGTCTGACCGCCTGAGCCCACCAGCCGTTTGCCCCACGGCACTTACTCCACAATGTCGTTGATGGGGATGTTCAGCTGCCTCCCATCCAGCGTCCTCACGCCCACCGTGCAACCGATCAGCGCCTGCAAGGCATGGAGCAGGACCAGAGCTGCATTTGCAGCCCCAGAGAGCAAACACAAGCTGGGGTTGGCTCCGCCCCCTCACTTGGCTCTTTACCTTTCCCAGGGGGATGGTGGCGACGTAAGCGAGGTTGTCGTTGGCTCTTTTAAACCTCGGGTGGAGTTTCTCTTGGACAACAAAAGTGATGTCAGCTGGAATGACATTTGGGCCCTAAAATTGAGGAAAAAAAATAAAGATACCTGGAAGTGGTTTGGTGTTACACAAATGATTTTACACAGGGAAAGGTGACACAAATGCCTGTCCCTTTGTTGCTGCTTTCAGCTGGCTGGGGAGAGGGGAAAACTTTTTTCCTTTAAGAAAAAAAATAGTCTTTGATAAGAGACTCTGCTAAGCCAAGGGAAATCAGACTGGGTTTCACAAAGGTGATGACAGGCAGAAAACCATCCCTTTCATTTATTAATTTTTATCTAGCTTAAGGCAAATCCAGGCAGGAAGGGCTCCTTACAGTGTTTCTGAGCACAGTAACACTGAATCGCCCCATTAGCCATGCCACCAACTGCCCACAGCCTGCAGAAATGGGAAACCTGCAAAGAGTGCGTGGTCGGTCCCGAGGAAACTTGACCCAGAACTTCACACCACGGTCATCACCTGGTCTCCTTCCTTCTCAAAGGTGAT